ATAATTGTAGGTAGTAACAAAACTGTAAACCTCACAACAACTAGAGGTAATCACAAAATGTATAGACCTCACAAATGATCATTATTAATGTCGGCACACACATTGTAGATAATCTCTATGTCCAAAACATACAGTAAATCTCTCAGCAGTAGGCAAATAAATTGCTGCTATAGGCACGGTCTCTGGGCTGATATATTCGTATGAATATCTCGTAGCCAATGCCTAAAACTCTACCACATGTGTGTAGCCTTTAATAATGAATGATGGTAGTCACCATAAAAGTGTATCATTCTCATATTTCCAAAACACTTATTTGGGACAACATAATGTAGGTAATCATCAGTTTAAAATAAACATGATGTAGACCTCTCAGTAATGGGCGAATAATCGCTGCCATAGGCACGGTCTCTAGGCTGAATAATTCAAGATGAATTAAGTGCAGCCAATGCCTAGGACTCCATCATTTGTGTTATGATCCCAAATGTATTAAAGATATGCATTGGAAAATTTTGCATAATCACTTAATTAAGAGAATTCACCTATGTTAAAATGCAATTTATGAAAAAATGGTAAATTAACAAGGTCAACAAAGTACATGAATAAACACTCTATTGTACTAAAATTACTAAGCATATAGTGCTTTGTTAGCTAGTGGCAAAACTATGCAAAATCTCGTAGGATCAAAGCAAAATCCACTTCCTATGTTAGCCTCACTAGCAAAAATGGTTTGGCTACCATTTTGCTTTTTCATATTAGACTCATATAAGCCTTAATTTATCCATCCTTAATTAACTATCAGTTAATTAATTAAGAGGATCTGATTTGTTGCAACTAAAATTAATTGCCAAACAACAAAATCGACGAACTACGTATGTTTAGACATGAATAATTTTCTGGTCTTTAAAAGCAAACAAAGTATAGGAGTAAAAGCTCTACCTATACTAATATTGTTAGAGTCCATGCCTAAAACAGAAAATCATAGACACATAAAACATATCTAAACATGACAATAGTAGATTTATCTACAATAATATATCATGATGCGATTTTTGAGAATTGGTATGCTCAAAATTATCTATTTACACTAAGTAAATAATTGCATCACACTTTATTTAGATACGAGGTCTAATACGAGCATTTATAGGATATATAAATGCAACATATTGCAGTGATGTATTGAGGCTCAACATAAAATAAGAATAAGAATACAGTAATAAACCAATAGGCTTAGCATGTAATTCAGAGAACAATGGAAGGGTTTATGTGCAAAAGGGCACACAATCTTATCCCTTCCCGTCCTACGGACGGTTCCTTGATGGCGTCGCTTGGGAACCGGCGTCCCTCGGCCTGATGGCCGCGTGTACGCCATCGCCAGTCAGCCGGCCACCGCCGCCCCTGGTCGGGCCCTCAGCCGCCGGTCTGACCACGGGCGTGGGGGCCGCTCGAGAGCCTGGCCGTCGGGCGTGGCTCCCAGTCGCCAGGGGCAAGGCCGCAGTCGTGGAATCGCCTCCGCGGGCGCGGGAGGGGCCACCGTGCCGAGGCCGTAGTCGCGGGCACGAGGCCATGCGGGAGGCAGGCCGACCGTGCGGGGCGCCGGCCACAACGCGATGCCGTGAGCGCGGGAGGCGCAGGGGCGGGGCCGCCTCTGTGGGTGCGGAAGGGGCCACCAGCCGTCTCGGTCCTAGCCACAGCCGTCCAGGCGGCAGACACTGCTGCCGCCCTGGCGCGTGTGTGCGTCACCGCCGTTGTGCAGACGCGCGTCCGCTGCCGTCAGTCGGATCCACGGGCTAGGCATCTGCCGGGGCTCGGGTCCTAATTCCATCGCACAGCCGCAATAGGCTTGCCGGCGAAGGAGTAGTTGGAAGAAAGAATTGCTCTGTACTCTTGTTCGATGATGGAAGCCAGTAGCATCGCGTTCCAATTTCTCGTACAACACCTGATGCTTCAGTTCCTGCCACAGGCCTTTGTGCCTTCTTTCTTCATGCAGGATGTCGATGCTGATACTGCCAGCGTTGCAGCGAGCGCTGACGGCCGCTGGTAGTTGTCGTCACCGGTGAGGCCAGATGTATGGCCGTTGTTTTCTTTCTTCATCGAAGGGCCTCGAATTCTTCTTCCTGGGTGGACATCGACGGCCTCCAGTTCTAGCAATCGAGTCAGATGCCTCGTTTTCCCTTCTTGTTCTCGGCGCTCTCAGGGAGAGCAAAGTGCGTGATGACGTGTTAGAAAGTAGAGAGAGTGAGAGGGATCGATAGATGCAAATGACTATCTGTTGTATTAACAGTGTGTACATATATACACAGAGTTTACCTGGGCGGTTATAAGTGTGAAAGATAGAGGGTGAAAAGACACCCCTTAGATTAATTCCTAATTTAGCACTAAATAATAATTCTCAACAATGGTTGCGGTTACTAGTAACTCCTATGATTATGGCTCTAGTTAATAGTAACTCCCATGTTCAGCAGCGGTTACTAGTGATTGATGGGCATTTCATGACTTCTAGGTCCATCTTCTACACTTAACTTTCCACCTTCCATGTTATAAGAATGAGTGTTTTCCTTATAGGAAACAGAATATACCGCACCCTCTCTTATTTGTTGAGCTGCTCTCGAGTTTTCCCCGTTCTGATTCTCTGCGCGAATGAAGAATTGGAAGAGCAGGCCTTCAGAACCATGCCCGTGTCTGTGACACCTGCTCGGGTGTGCCGGACGATCAGGTTTTTGGGGAGCGTCAAGCATGACTTCGTTTTCTTTCTGGTGGACGTTCAAGGGACACTACATCGTGAACATTGTCCTGCGTCACTGTAGTCTACGACGTCGAGAACACTATGTCGACTAGTGCGTATGGAGCCACTGGTGCCTCGAGCATGGGTCCCTCCGTTGGGTATACTCCGCTGGTATATTTCTATTCTTACTGTTTCTATATTCAGTAAGGTTGTTTATATGCTATTAAACATGATCAGTATGTTCATCATAGTTGTCATTGGTAGTTTACTCATGCACATGTTTGTTGTCATAAATTTACTACTATATTTTGGATCAAATTAAACATGAAAATGTCTAAATTCCTAACATTACGTGCATACGTATGTTGGAATAGTGGTTGTATTGAGAAGAAGGGCTAAAGCCCAAATATGTACATGACCCTTATAACAAACATGAAAATATAAGAACACACGTATATCTAACAACCCCCTCCCCCTCAAACTTAGGGGGTCGCAAAGACTGAGTTTGAACAAAAAGAAACAACTTTCGTGAAAAAATCTGCCAACTAAAGCACTAAGGGCACAAAGACACAAAGCGAAGCTCAATAACATCATCTCGTACATGTGTCCGAGTATAAGAGGCATCAACACCAATATGTGTAGTAAGCTCAAGTTTGACTGGGTCAGTGCAATGCTAAGAGCACCAGTGCTGTCAGACAAAAGAGGTGTCAGCATGGAAACACAAAATACCAAGATCCTCAGCCTCTGCACTAGAATGAGAATTAGTTGTTTGCTTCTTAGTCTTTCAAGCAATAGGAGAACCACTAAGAACTACACACTAGGCGAAAGAGAGCGACGATCGGAGGAGTTACTAGCCTAAGTAGCATCAGAATATATATGCTTGGACCGAAAAGAGTTGGAACATGGAAAGAACATACGACGAGAAATGGTCCCACGAAGATAATCCGAGACACGAATGAGATGACTATAGTGGAGCTGAGTGGGAGCGGAGACAAACTAACTCAGAATGTGCACAACATACGAAATATTAGGACGAGTCACACCCAAATAGAGAAGACTCCCAACAATATGATGATACCGAGTGGGATCAGTAAGAGGTTCACCATCAGTGGGGTGAAGATGAAGATTAAGCTTCATGGACGTCTCGACAGTGTGGTGATCAGTGAGAGAGGAATGATCAAGAAGGTCATGAATGTATTTTTCTTGGGACAGATAAAGACCATCCACTATGCCAGAACTCATAATCACTACCGGACTATCACTGCCGGTTATTTGGACCCAGCAGTGATATAGTATCACTGTCAGTTCATGGTTTAATCCGATAGAGACAAGTGAACAATCACTGTTAGATGAAACCACGAAACAAAAAATGATAAGTGAACTATCACTGTCAGTTCATGGCTTCAACAGGCAGTGATAGGCACACAACCTATCACTGTCGGTTGAAGTCACGAAACAACAGTGATAGGTCCACCTATTACTGCTAGTTCGTGGCTTGAACCGCTAGTGATAGGCTGCTTTGCACAAAAAAAATTATAACATTATTATATTAGATTGGATGAAGATAAACTTTGCATCAACATTGTAGAGTTTAAAGAGATATACAACTTTGTAGTTAACAACTTTTATGTCGAGATGGTTTACAAGTCCAAATACCGTAACAAACCTGAAATCTCGGAAGAGACCTACAAATCCAAATATAATAACAATATATGGGCAGCTTCGCACCATTCAGCTATGTTGTCAAAATTTGATTGCTGAATTTGCTGAGCTACATTGAACTGCTCCTGGCCCGAAACAAGCTTCCACACTTCTTGAACGTATGGGCAGTGCAGGACAAGTGAGGTCCGGTCTCCATTAGTCCACTGCACATAGCACAATTAACTTGGTGTGGCCACAATAGACAATATGATTCTAGGGTTATATAGCACATGAATTAGTGTTTATAAAATTTCGGATTTTTCTTTCATCCACCGCTGAAATTACCTAAAATTCCAGGGTTCAAAATCCGAAATTCCAGGGTTAAAAATTTCACGAATTTCGGTTGCAGCAGTTAAACCTATTAGCAACCAGAAATCTCGGAAGAGACCTACAGATCCAAATATATAACAATATATTGTAACAAAGGATATTCAGTGCATCAACAAATTAAGGTTCGTCCTTTTCTTATATCACAGCAAAGGCAACATTTAGTATTGCAGCATGAAGTTCTGGAAAGCAGCATTCTATTATTATCCTAATGCCACGATCGAACCAGAGCTGGTAGAAACTAACAATGTTAGACATGGCGAATGATATAGACCGTCATTGTAAGCATCTTGATGTCGTCCTTGGTCAGCTGGAATAGGCAGATGTCGTCAAGTTTGAGGCGGTTGTCGCGGACAAAGCCACGCCAGCCTTTACTGAACCTCTGCGCATGCATCTTCACCTTCCATGCCGAGCTCTTCCCGTTCCTCATGAGCGTCACGGTGTGCTCCCCGTATGGAAGGTACTTGCTGGCATATTGCTTGCCAAAGTACTGTTCCATGATATACATATATATATACAATGTTAGTATGTTAATAACTAGTATTGTAGTTACTGAAATTGGCACCGGAGAAATAATGGGTTTTTAAGCTGCTTACTAAGACGCAGCCGGTGGCAGCAACATTGGTCTTGCTCATCACTGCCACGTAAAGGGGAACTTGAGACTGGATGCTTCCAACTACGTCTTCCACTTTCTTCCTCTGCTCATCACCCAAATGAGCATGGGATGCCATAATGTAGAGACCTGCTTTAGAAGGTCCACCAGAATCGCCTGACTCATCATCAGTCAAATGACAATTACAAGGTGAAGGCGCCTGATCGGCAGGTTCCTCCTTAACACGCGCTACCGGTGTCACCTTCGCCTTTGCTCTGCTGCCTTCACCTGAGTGCACAATCTTAGGCTCGTTTGCCTTCGTCCTCGTCGTTCTGCCTTTACTGGAGCTTGTTCCTCCTCCTGGTCCTGGACTAGGACTGTTTCCAGCATGTTCAGGTAATGCACCAACCTTTGACTGACGAATCAGATGAACCATCAGAGTGAACCTTATGCCAGCAGTCTTCAATGGCTGAAAGATGCAGATGTCGCCTTCCTGCAAATGGTTGTCTTGCACGAAGTCTGACCCTGAACACGTGGGAAACTCTGTCTTTCCTGACCTGAAGCTTGGTATGCCACTTCTTGTTCTTGCCTGGCCGCTGAAGCGTCACCACTTGACTTGTGTGTGGGAAGTGCGCGGCTGCATAGCCGTGAGGAATTACCTGATTCTAGATGGGAATGGGATGGATCAGCAAATAAATATGACTGCAATGCGCAGGACTAAATTAGAAAAGCTCGTACATAAAGTTAGAACAGCTCGGTTAGTTCTGACCAACAAAAGAGAAGACCAGTTTTTAATTGACAAAAGAGAAGAATTCAGTGTTCCTAGGCTTCTTTGTGTTTTGCGTTTCAAACTGGTAGTCCCAGTATTGTACCGTATGTTGCTTTCTTAAAAGCAGAGTTTATTCTCTTTAAAAAAAATTGACAAAAGAGAAGAGCGCAGCTTACAAGACTAGAGTATCGTTTGACATTGCTTGGTTTCATGATAGCCACAAATACAGTAGTTTCAGGCTGGATTTCCTTGATAAGTCCATCTACTTCCTCCTCTTGTTCTTCAGATGGAATAGTCATACATGATAAGACATAATCAGGTGCCGCATTTGTCTTAGGATCATCATCAAAACCTGAAGAGCATTCGTATTCAGCAGTGCCCTCAGAATCTGGTCCTGTACATAACTAATAATTACTAAAAGCCGCTAGGAAAAAACAAACAAACAAATAAAAGACCTTTTAGATAAATCAAACCAAAGCTCATTGCACACAGGAACATTTAAGAAAATAAATTATCTTTATGCAGGTATAAGGCAGCCAACAATTATTATAACATAATAACCTGATTCCTCAGACGAAGAGGCTGATGTTGTGGTAATCCTTGCAGCTTTTCTACGTTGACTTGGACAATCCCTCTGACAGCTAGAGACTCTTTTCCGAACTCTTGATGATTTGTCGGCATGGTCATGGGACCTATCTGAAACATCAACACAATCCGTGTCTCGTTCTTGGATGTTACTAGAACTGATTCTGATCCCATCGCAGGGAAAGACTTTCTCACATCCATCAGGATCGATTATCAGAACCTTAAAACGGGCCTTCTCAATGTGCTGGAACAGCAACGAGTCATTCTCCTCTATGCGATGGGCATCGACAAATGCTTTCCATCCACACTGGGGGAGCATCTTGTTCATGAACTTGGTGCCCTTGACAACATAAACACTGCCGTCAGGGGATTCGATGTCGATGCTCTCCGAGATCTCTCCTCCAAATTGGTTCATGAACCTGGCAGGCATTGTCTGCACCAAGAACAGTGAAACAAATATAATGCATATATCTTTATACAGAGCAATCCAAGCATCAGAGAGCAAGCGTTGTCTAATTATGTTTTCTGTTGCATTGTTTTGCAATTCACTGATGAAAAGTAGGTTTGAAATTCAGGAATGTAATTGATTTCACTTGCTCAATTAATCACGATGTATGGTTCTAGAATCTTTCAGTTCTGTGTAGCACACAGATTCAGTGAAATTTATGGAAAGGGTAGGCAACTATATACTACTACGAAGATTGAAATCTATCTCCAAATGAAACATGGTAGATAATGAAAATGTATCAGGGCAAAGATATTAAACTTATAGGAAGACTCACCATGCTGTGCCTATAATTAGCAGACATGAGCATGAGGAAAGACGTCATCTTTCCACGCCAATGATCCATGTACCTTTCGCAACAAGCACAAGATTTCTTCACCTGGGAGCCTTGTCCAGCCATGTTCACTGCAATTTGCAGGATATGTCAGACAGAAATTAGAGTCAACAAATGAACAAATATTCAGTATAACTTGGCGACACCACATTCAAGTTAGAATAGGAGAGAAGATTGCCCTTAACTTAGGACAGATGATTTACGACACAACAAGAGCGGAGCCGAGAAAGAAAAATAAAAGATGACAAAATGAATGTTCAGCATAAACTTATATTGCAGTTTAGCACTACTACTATGTATATGAGATTTTTTCGGTAATGCTATCTCGCACTCACTCGATTTGTTTTCTTCTGCAAATCCGACGTTTCCCCCTCTTCTTCTCCAAGTCAGGCGGCCTTAGGAGCTCGGGGGAGGTAGGCCGGCCAGGCGGTGGGGACAGTGGGGGGCGGCCTTTAGGTCCTGGCGGCGGCGGAGGCGGGGGCGCTCATGACCGGAGCTCGCCACGGAAGGAGGAGGGGGATGGAAAGAAGGAGGCCACCGCGGCTACGCTAGGGTTTCGCCGGAGCTCTGATAAACCCTAGCACAACAACGGCGGGGGCGAGGAGGAAGATGAACGGTGAACAATCGAATCAGAGTGTTCTGCCCTCCCCCAAACACTTGAATGTACTTTTCACTGAAGAACGGATAGGAATCTGCAGAAGATTTGCTTTCCTGGCAACTAGCAGTCCCAAGATACAACACAACAGATGAGCACCGAATTTTAACATTTGTTATATATCCCCACAACCTGAGGAAATGAAATGTCAAATGAATGGTGCAGAGCAATACCTAAGTATCAACCAAGCTTTGCAAACATTCCTCACACTGGCCAGGATCGCAGCTTCATACTTCATAGTTGCATTTCTATCTATTCTGTGGAGACAAAAGATAGACAGGAGGCCAGAAGTCGAAAGCGTTTGATGAACTCCCACGCGTGCGTTCTATGTGTGGTCGACTGGTGAGAGTTCGGTGATCAGTTGTGTTGTAATGCAGCGGCCAAGTGCTTGATCTTGTCAAATCAAAAGCTAAAAAATGAATCGAACAAAGATCTAACCAAGCACCGGCCAAGATAAAACAAAGCACGCATGACGGTATGAGGAGAAACTGACCGTCACTTGCTGCTTCCACGTTGTCGTTCGGCCACTATCGAAATCCGTCTGGCCGTGCGATATGGAGCGAAAGAGGAATGCTCGTCACTGGAAGACAACAAGCGCCATGCGGGCCTCCAGGATGACGACGAATCAGATCTGCGCCGCCGCTCTTGTTGGAGATTCGGACGCGCCAGCAGGCCTCAACAAACGCGACCCTTTTTTTTCTCCCGTAGCGTCGCTTGATCGGTGGCCTTTCTTTTCTTTTCTTCCTATTTTTCCTCTCCTTCCACTTCCGTAATGGCCGTCATTATTTCCTTTACTTCCTAATTCGTAGTGACTCCGTTACTTCCTTTGACTCCTAGATTGGCGCTTGCCTTCCATTCACCGGTGGGAATAATTTTTTCCGTGTGATTTTTCTGTCAGCATTTTTTTTTCACGCAGTTTTTATTTTCTTTACGGGGGACGGGTCGCGGGAAATTTCCTTTCTGTGCCAGGTTGTCATGGATAGCAGGGTAGTTTTGGTGCTTCCAGATAGACGTTAATAATCCGTATGTTTTAGTTGTGTGTATATATATATATATATATATATATATATATATATATATATATATATATATATATATATATATATATATATATATATATAATATAGATATAGATATATAGATATAGAAGATAGCCAAGAGATAAAGATGGAGAAGAGATAAGGGGAGACTGAAGAACAGAAATTATGTACGTAGTTAAACGGGAGGCCGCAATGCAAGGGAAATTTAATATGGGAGGACATGTAAGGAGAGAAAGATATTGGGAAAAGAAAAATGTCTACTGAGAAAGGAAAGAAAAATATGTTGGAAAGTGAGAATGTCGTATTTTAGAATAAAATTTGAATTATATAAGATCAAGTAATTTAGGATGGATGGAGTATATTTGTATCTTAGATCTTGCACGGTTACACTCTAGGAGTTAAGGCATCGCATAATTAAATCTGAGCCATCGTTTTTTAAGAGAAATATTTTATATTTAACAGCGGTTATAAAATGATCATAGGTGCGTTACGCGTTGGATTTAATGTGGGCCTGACCTATATATTATTCAACTAAATTAAATAAATTTGAAGACAATATTAAATGCTAGGTGCAATAAATGATAGATTGAATATAGTTTATGGTTGAACTTGTAACGGCCATGGTTATGGCTGTTAGAAAGTAGAGAGAGCGAGAGGGATCGATAGATGTAAATGATTATCTGTTGTATTCCAATGAACAGTATGTACATATATATACAGAGCCTATGTGGGCGGTTACAAGTGTGAAAGAGAGAGAGGGTGAAAAGACACCCCTTGCATTAATCCTTAATTGAGCACTAAATAATAATTCTTACCACTCTCCCTTGATCAATTAGCTCTTTGTAGTCTTTACTGTTCATCTATTATGGGTCTTTATGAATCTGTGGAAAACCCTATGGGAAAAAACCAAAGTAATACCCGTATATCAGGCAAAACTCCTTAAAACTCAGTGGGAAAAAATAAGAAGAAACACCATGATATACAATCACCAATGTTATTAGACCCTTTGAGATAAATCCAAAGCCTTAGTGTAAAAACACCTTGACCATAGAGTCAATATGCTTCAAATATCATCTTCCAAGAATCCCGGTGGGAAATAATAGATGATATAGCATATACCTTTGTGTTGACATTGCCTCATAAAAAACTTTATATGAGAAACCATAAATCAAAAACTCACACAAAGAAAAGAGTACAATGCATCTTATGTCCCAATATCGTTCACCAAAAAATCCTTGTGGGAAAAAATAGATGATATGACATAACCTTGTGTTGATATTGCCTTATTAAAAACTTTATATGAGAAACCTAAAAGGAAAAACGCATACAAAGAAAAGAGTGCAATATGATGTTTGTAACAAGTTATTAATCAGAGAGACACTCCCCCTGATACTTATAAATCTTAAAGTAAATTCATACCAATACACTCAACACATACAAAATGTGGAGTATGATAGACTTTGTGAATATCTCTGCGAGATTATCACAATACTTAGTTTGTAAATGTTCATATGCCCATATTACTTATAGAACGGAACCATCTTAGTGTAAAAAAATTGCATTAAATATAACTTGTCTTCATCTACACCACACAAGTTGTATTGCCTTTATAGATAATGACCATTGATTCATAAAATCAACACCACATAACTTCAGTATGTGATATATCATTCTATCAAGCTATACACATTTATGTGAAGCCTTGTAAAATACAATATCAGAATGACTAATGGAATTGACCATTAAATGTCTATTTAAAGACTATTACAAAATGGTCTTTAATATTCATGTAAAGCCTATTTCAATGATCTAGAATTTGGGATCTTATAGATAACCAGAATCATTATATCCACATAATCGGATTATGGGATTACACCAAGACCACATATGCTATTTGAGATATCAAAAGACATTCTTAACTTTAATCCACCAACATTTGGTAGGAGTAGCGCTGCTACTAGATAACAAATCATTGCAAAAATAATATCCGGTCGGGAACTTTTGCAAGATTTATTAGCTCATAAATAACACAGAGATAGTGGACCACATGTCCCAATATCTCATCTCAGTCACTATGGCATAAAACAATCCTCCTCTATCATGAGGTAGAGCAACCATAGGATACCTTCATATTGAATCACTCAATATGATTTGGATACAGATAGCTTTTGTACAAAATCCTAAGAGAAGATGCTTGGATCATAAACACAAAATAAAATTTTGATTTATTTCGTATCTTCTATCTCAAACTCCGTCTTTAGATTGCAACGTGCTATTAATATGTGTTCATCACTAATGATATCAAGATTATTGACTATCATATAACACTATGAAATATAATCAAGGACTTCAAAATGAACACCACGTGTAATCAATCTTGTATCCCTTCAGTTTAGGGAATACATAAAGTCGATTGTACCAAATTCGACTTAACTACTTTAAGTCATATATTGACTTAAGTAATACACAATATGTGTTGCGATTTTATGTATGAGGGTTGGGTATGTGAACTCCTTTTCGAAGGCTTCACAAATACACTAAATCAAGTGATCATATAAATATATACAATCACTACATCTATCAATTATCAACTGCAATGATAGATGCTTTTGTACTGCCAATCAACAGATAGTATCAGAAATTTATAACTTACTATGGAGAATAATTTACATTGAAAATCAATGCTTGGGCTTTGCGTAAACCCCTTGTGCTACTTGTCTTGCTTTGATCTCACCATCACATTGTTCTCAATCCATTCTAGGACGAAAACACTTTTGTACCCATAGTAAAGGTACCATGAGGTGTTGGCATCATAGCACAAAACACCTCTTTTCTGGTGAGCAAGACTGTCTCTGCATGTATTACATCACTCAATAAGTTCCAGTAAGAGTGAGCAAAGCACTCTGCCATGGTCTTATTGACTAGAGAACTTGGAATGTTGTATACAGTTTATTCAGAGAAATATGTGTCGACACATGTAGCCTTTCTATGATATAATTCTCCGGTTATCAAAACTCAAAATATCCTGAATGACTCATTGTGACTTCCTAAAACGAGAGTTAGGGCTTTTCGATATCCTAGCATCAGCATTTAGGTGCACCTCTAAGCTAGGTTTGTGGATGACATCCATCCACTGGGTAATAACCAATATTTACCCGCAAGGTGTCGCCAACCATAGGTTGACCTGCATTTACTTATTTAGAAGGAAACCTTCTATTGCTAGCATGAATAATCTTGCTTTATGGCCATACTTCTCCCCCTCTTATTTATAATTGGGAGTTGAGTGGTTTTACTTATACTCTACTCTTTCTAGCACATACTTGCAACGGATTAATAAGTTTAAAAGACACCTTAGTAATCAGTAAATGCAT